ATATATATTTTTTTTTTTATATGTTTACTGTATTTTGTTATTCATAAACTAACCTTAAGTATAACGATGCTCATTCTAGCTTGTTTGTTATAAGTGAATGTTCAAGAGTATGATAGTTAAGTTTGCAGACCGTTTGCGGACTTCAAAAAAAAAAAAAATATATATATATATATATATTTTTTTATATGTTTACTGTATTTTGTTATTCATAAACTAACCTTAAGTATAACGATGCTCATTCTAGCTTGTTTGTTACAAGTGAATGTTCAAGAGTATGATAGTTAAGTTTACTGTACAATAATATACAAATACAGAATTGAACTACTGGTATCTCATGGACACATTTTCCTCCATTTCTTAACCTTTTACATTTAAGTTTACACTTTGGTGTCTTAGTTGTGCACTGAAATGCAAAGTGTGTGAATGTATAAATGTCTTGTCAATGTTTCCGTTTTCTTACATTTTTTTATTTCAATGCATGTGGCAACTTGCAATCTGCTGTGTTTAAATAAATACCAAATGTTCTAAAATACATTGTTTTTCGTCTTTGACACTTTATATGAAATATAAAAATACATAATTACTTTGAGTTACTAATTACTTCTACAAGGCTGTAACTGAGTTAACTCGAGTCATATTTGGAACAAGTAATTTGTAACTGGAAGTAATTGTTTTTTTTTTAAGTAACGAACACTAATTGGTAGACCGCACACAAAGGTAAAAAAAATCAACAGTTTTTGGCATATTGTGTGTGGAGTACTCAGATAATCTCAACACAGGCACCGACACACAAAAGATTCTCTTCCACCACCAGTCAAGAATCCAGTCCTCAGAGCATTGTCATGTGATCACACGTGGCAAACACCAAGACAACCAGGCTCTTCCAGGTATGCACCACCGGCTGCTGAGTGTTTCCAAAGAGGACCAAAGACGGACAATGGCAATATCGGCAAAGAAATTCTTACTTTGGAAAATACTTTGTCGTCTGGGAAATCCACGGACAGCACGGTGTTGATTGATGAGCACATCCGCCTCACAGTACAGAGGTCGTGAGTTCAATTCCGGGCTGTGTGGAGCTTGTGTATTTTGCCTGTGCGAGGGTGGGTTTTCTCTGGTTTCCTCCCACATTCCAAAAACATGCACAGTATATTAATGGAACACGATAAATTGTCCCTCGGTGCGAGTGTGTGAATGGTTGTTCGTTTATGAGTGCCGCATGATTGGCTGGCAGACAGTTCAGGGTGTTTCCTGCCTACTGCCCGAAGGCAGCTGGGATAGGCTCCAGAAGCCCCTGCGACCCTTGTGAAGGTAAAAACGGCTGGATGATGTATAGCTTGAGATATGTCTGCAAACACATTACCAAGCATAGACCCAGTTTAACCTGAATTGGGTATTTGGGGGGTGGGGGAGAAGCAGTCCAATAGTAAATGGATGTGATGCACGTCCATGGCTCCAGCATCTCATGGCCGCTGAGATACACACGGCAAGCCAGCACAACAGTAGTTCATTCCAGCAGCAGGCCATCGGTGCACTCACGGTCAACCAAACGATTGACAAGACAATATTGAAAAGTCAAAGGAAAAAACACCAAAAAAAAAGAACCAAAAGACAGCTGCATTGATTTTATTTTGAGTCAATAGCTTTAGAGCTCTGGTAATCTATCCCCTTCGGGGAATGAAAGCTGCCCTGTACCAGAAACAGACGTCATTTTTCTTGATGCAAGCAAAGTTTTGGGCCTGCTCATCATAGCCCATCTTCCCTGGCAAGAATGTCCACAAGCACTCTGTTGGGGTGGTCTTGCAGCATGGGAAGGAAAAGCAGGATTTGATCTGAGGGTGAGCAAAGAGAAATTTCACAATGTCACACAGAATACGGATTACTTATGGTTAATTTGTGCCAAGACTTAATGAAATAAAATGGAGAGAATTTAACACCATTTTCTTGAGCTCATTGATTGCATGTTTAAAGCGGTTGGCACTTGTTCATGGGTTAAGGTGGACATCTAGAATATAGCTAAAAATTCCTCACTAAATCCATCTTCTGCATTCCTACCATGCAATCACAGCCCTTTTCATAGCGGTACAACAGACTCTTCTGCACAGCACTCAAGGCTTTCCACGGCTGATAGAAGTCACACACAGAAATACGCAGCGAGCCGTCAGACTGCAGTCTACCTGCAATGGCAAAAGACCAAAGTGGAAAAACTGAATAAATATCAAGACTGCATCATAAAATGCATGCAGAAGTCTCAAAACTGTCAGACTGGGGGGTTGCAAGCATCAATGGTTTACATTTGGGTGCCATTAATGGTTTGAGTTTTCATAGGGGAGAAAAGTTTTTTTATACCCATGAGGAGATATTCAGTGCCCTTGGTCAGGGTGACTCCACAAGCTGCAGAACCGGGTGCAGTGTAGATTGCATCAAAAAGCTTTTCTGTGCCCTTGAAGTTCTGGAAAGAGGGTGGGGAGTCCCAGTGAGAAGCTATCCAATTTGCCTACAAGAATATAGTCAAGTCTCACCTTTCTCTGTTTGATGTCATACTTAGTGAGTGTCCCTTCTACATGCATGCCAGGCGTCACTCCAACAACCTTTGCCTTGATGACTAGACAGACAAGTTTTGAAAACATGCATTTTGGGTGGTGCTCCTGCCCCACAAAAAATAAATAAAGATAATTTAGCACATATTGGCAAATACCATCAAATGGATACCAAATAAGCACTTTCCCAGGTACACTGTCAATAAATTAAACCCTTTTTTTTAAAAATCAAATAAATGATAATTAAGGTAGGTTACCAACAACATCGGCTTTGCAAAACACCTGCTGCGGATGCACCGGTAAACAGGTGCAGGCTTGTGCGACTTCCTGGAAGCCCCACAAGCACAGCAACACCAGGGCTAACACAAAGTTCTGCCAGCTCATTGTTGACCGTTCAGGGTAAATCAAAAGAAATGAGCAAAACAAACAGATTTAAGTTGTGCAAAAGCTGAGCTCTGGTTCACTCTGCTGGAGTCAAAGTTCACGAGGGCCTTTTTATGGCTACACAGCTGCTCACAGGTGGCGTTGCCTGCATTCACGAATGATTGTTTTCACCTGTTCTTCCCCATTAAATACAATAATGCACATGTGAGTGCCAGTGCATGTGGGCGTGGTGGTTGGCCAATAGGGGGCACTAAGCTTCCATCCCATTTCTCATCACGGAGACATGAATGTTTTTTTTTTTTTTTTTTGGTTTGGGTTTTTTGTTGGGTTTTTTTAACTTTTTACTTGTTTACTTAAACAACATAAAAAGAGACAAAATGGCATCAATCACATTTTAACAAATATTAACATGTCTGCCAAGGGTGCAGTAGCTATCCAACAAGAAGCAAAATGCACATATAGTGATCCCTCGCTCTTTCGTGGTTCGTTTATCCCAGCTTCAGTGCATCGCGGATATTTTCAAACATATTCATTAAAAAAAAAAAAAAAAAATTCAGTCCGCAAAAAGTCCGCAAACGGTCTGGGAGAAGCAGCGAAAGTCAGCAAAACAACAGAGAGTCACATCGAGCAACATATACAATACTTCATGTATATTTCATATTTATGTTTGCTGTATTTTATTAAATATATGTACATATACGTATATATAAAAAATATATTAGTATATAGCATTAAGTCATGTTAATTACTAAAAACATTTAGTTCTACATGCATGTATACCATTAACATTGGCCTTATAAATATTATATATACTCATACACATAATATTTTATATGTTTACTGTATGTATTTTGTTATTCATAAACTAACCAACTTATACATGTTTACAAGTTAATTTCTTCAAATATTTACTCCTACATGCATGTATACCATTAAATTTGGCCTTATAAATATTATGTACATGTACCTATATGGAGGGGGGGTCGCTACTTCGCGGATTTTCGTTTATCGCGGGTGGTTTTGGTCCCCCATTAACCACGATAAACAAGGGATTACTGTATAACAATTACTTAAAATTATATTTAAAAATTAGAAGGATATATTCAGATTAATGCAAAAAAAGTAGCTTGAAAATCATGTCAATTTTGTGCTCTCGTTTTAAATACAATAAATATTTTAAGATATGTGCTGAAAACATTCAAAGACTGAAAACAATTTAGCACTGAATAGTCGAAGAGGCGCTTCAACCTCACAGTGCAGAGATGCAGGGTTCGATTCATTTTAAATGTCATTTTGCAAACATTTGTTGCTAGTAGGCTGTCACGCTGGCTTAAAATGTTACTAATGTTATCTAGTGATGCCTTTCTCAGGGTGACTGTTTAATTTCAAACATATGTAAAGAATTCCAGCAAGTAGCAATAAACTGTAGGCTGCATTACTGGAGCCCACCAGCTAAGGCTGAAGGGTGTAGTGGTTAGAGTGATGAGCTACAAAGATGAAACAGCTCACCAACCACAGACAACAGATTAAAATTCAATTAAAATTTGATGATGACATCACTATTTACTGAAGGGAGACTCTGTGTGGTTCTAGTTAATCTTCACCTCACTGACGCTACATGACACAATCAGCACTCAAAGGTCGGACTCGAAAAAGAAAGCACTTCGTCATTGAAAAGCAAACCTGGCAGTACTAGAAGAGAAACAATATAAAGGATTACCATGGTTGCCATTACAGAGTTTCAGAGTAAGTCTTCCCACAGTTCTGTTTTTCTTCTCAGTTTTAAAGTGCAGGATTCGAAGAAATTTCCAATTCAATGAGGTCACAATGGGCAGACTTCAGTGACTTGATTCTAAATACAAGCCTACTTGTGACTTTGAGCATGAATAAACCCATGTTAAACAAATAGTAACTAAGCATGTCAGCCTCTGTCAGGATATCCAGGCTCGACTGTCATTTGCATGCACTGGCGGAGCTGGGATTTTTTGTTTTAATAAGAAGAATTTTAGGCCATATCAGTTTTCAGTCTTCATTTGAAGCAATTAGTCACTGATAAAAATATGTTTTGAATGTTTAATTTTCTATTATGTTTTTTACTGCAGTGAATATTGCACTGAAGCTTGATCTGGTTAAAAAAAAAAAAAGTGAATCAAATCATAACCGAACTGATGAATCTGCCAGAAAAATCGCGATTAAATATTTTCCAATAACCAATCAGCCACCTTCTTAATCAGAGATTCCTGAGCAAGCTTCGACTTTTCCAGGTTTGTGAAGTATCTGTCAACAAATAAAGGCGAGAAAGTAAAAAAAGACAAACATGGCATAACTATGCAGATATATCAGTCATATGCCCAGCTAATTATATCTATAAATTACCCGAGTAATTATTTTTTGCAAGGTGTTGGTCTCATTACATCAGGCGTACATGTAACACTTCATTTCAGGAAAAGTACATCATACCAACAGTTAGTGCTGGGAGATATGGAAAAAGTTACAATACAGGCCATCTTATACAGCAATAATGAGATACCATGATATATTTTAAGTTCTTCTACAAAAAAAAATCATACACCACTGATTACTACTTACATTTCATCACTTTATTTTGAAGTGACAAGAAAGACACTTCCAGCAGCTGATAATGTATATAAACTCATCAAAATGTAAACAGAAGCAAAGTAGCCAACATATTTTTGCATAGATGGAGATATCAAACTATACAGTGAAATGAAAAAGATTTCTGACAAAAATTGACTGTCCATCCATCCATCCATCCATTTTCGAATCCGCTGATCCTCATGATGGTTGCGGGCATGCTGGAGCCTATCGCAGTCGTCTTCAGGCACCAAGCGGGGGACACCCTGAACTGGTTGCCAGCCAATCGCAGGGCACACAGAGACGAACAACTATCCGCGCTCACGCTCACACGGAGGGACAATTTAGAGTGTTCAGTCAGCCTGCCATGCATGCTTTTGGAATGTGAGAGGAAACCGGAGTGCCCGGAGAAAACCCACGCAGGCACAGGGAAAACATGCAAACTCCACATCATAAGGCCGGACCCAGAATCGGCAACTCTGCACTGTGAGGTCATTTGATCCTGTATGCATTGTCGTCGAGATGGAAACAATACAGCCACCATTAGAGGAAGTGAAGTAAAGAGGAAAAGCATCGCACTGGTGTGAAAGAGGATTGCAAAAACAAACAGATTGGCTCACAGCTTTGATCCATGTAGATGATGATGATCACAGTTTTTGTACAGGTAATGAAATAGAAAATGTAAATTTTTCGATTCCAAATGTTTGTTAACTGTATGATTTTCTGAATAAATGAAGCCATCAGAAATTGGTGAACACGTGTCACTTTCTGGCAATTTTTTTCCCTGACAAGGGTGAAAAGATAAATAAAAATGACAACCGCCTTAAAGGAGGTGGATGCAATTGTTTTAATCATTTTCTCTGTATTTGTCTTCCAGAGATTGGAATTGGTCTGGTGGGGTTTGGCTTATTTTTTCTGCTCTTTGGTGTGTTGCTGTACTTTGATTCTGTTTTGCTAGCCTTTGGGAATGTAAGTAGTATTTTTATTCCATATTCTCTCTCATAAAACAGATCAATGACAATTTTTTTATAAATGAAATGTCTTAATAAGGCTTCAGTCCAAAACAAATTTTCGCAATTTATTTTCTCCCCCTAGATTTTGTTTTTGACAGGTTTAACATTCATCATCGGCTTCAGGAAGACATCTCACTTCTTCTTCCAAAGACATAAGTTCCGAGGCTCGTTCTTCTTCCTGGGAGGTGTGTCGCTGGTGCTGTGCCGTTGGCCAATTATTGGTATGCTGGTGGAGTGTTACGGCTTCATCCTTTTATTCAGGTCAGTTACAAACATCAAAATATTGAGAAGAAAAAAAAGATCATCATAAAATTGTGTGCACCACATGAATGGAATGCATTTGTGTTATTTTTCTCCCACATACAGTACACAAGAAGTTCAGGCAGAATTTGCTTGACTAATTTGTATTAGTTGTGTGGTTTGAATTGGATTCCCTCAAATAAATAAATACAACCACAACTCGTTGATGAAGTATATAAAAGTAAGCAATACGATTTCATTGCAAAAACCTGAAAAAAATCTTTAATCCATACTTGCATATTATTGCTTGCCCTTATGAAGGTCGTGAATAAACTGGAGCCTATCCCTGGTGACTTACCCTTCAAAATAAGTAACTAGTTTATTTTTTAATGGGCCAGAGGTAATAGGATAATGGCAAGTATATCATTGCTTCATAGTCTGGAAAAATGCAGATTACCGCATTTTCTGCACTCCAAGACACTTTGGAGTATAAGGCGCACCTTCACTGAATGGTCTATTTTCAAACTTTTCATATATAGGGCACACCGCGTTTTAAGGCGCATGGAATAGAAGCTACAATCGTGGCTGTGGTTGTGTTATGCATCAACTAGATGGAGCTACACTAAAGAAAATACAATACAATAAGCCTTATTTATAAAGAGCCCTGGCTGCAGGTAAATTATGCATCCACTTGATGGTGCTAGGCTAAAGGAAATCCAATACAAAAAAATACAGCTTTATTTATAGAGCCTTCACAACCGCTGCAGCTGCAAAAAAGTGCTTTACAGAACATTTAAAATACTACATCCAAGATATCAGAATATAGATAACCATCCATTTTCTGATCCGCTTTTCCTCACAAGGAGCGCAAGGGCGTGCTGGAGCCTGTCCCAGTTGTCTTGGGGCAGTAGGCGGGGGACACCCTGAACCAATTGCCAGCCAATCGCAGGGAAAACTGATGCATTTAAAACAAAACTGAATGCTTTAAGGTGTGCCTTATAGTGGATAAAATCTGGTACTGGACCCTATCGCAGCTGTCATCAGGCGGTAGGCAGGGTACACCTTGAACTTGTCTCCAACCAATCCCAGTACACATTTAGAGAGACAAGCATTCACACTCACATTCACAGCTACAATCAATTTGGTGAAATGTTTGCGAATATATAGACAGGTGTGTGTGTGTGTGTGTGTGTGTGTGTGTGTGTGTGTGGGTGTGTGTGTGTGTGTGTGTGTGAATGAGAACATGGGGTGATGGTTATGGTAACTAAGCTCCACATCCTTTTATTTTGCTGGACTGAAAACATTGGGCCTCCGTCCCTATCAGAGCATACGCACAAATATGTGCTTAAATCGTGCATCCGCACATTGGACGCCAACATCTGTGATTCATCAATGAGCGTACGCTGTGAACAAATTCAGAACAATATGCAGACACACAAATAATGATGGATCCTCATCTAACCCGAACCATTGAGAGGGAAATAGGAATGTGGCTTATTCAACAACTGTCATTCAGAATGAATTCTGAAAACGGGCCAGCTCAGTGAGATTTGAACCCAGATCCAAACTCAGATGTTTTTTGTTCTTGTTTTTTTTTTTTCTGTGGCAGCAGTATCAAGAAAAGCTTCACAACCTTGCATTTATTTGTTGTCGTGAAAATAAAATACTTGGGTTAGGGTTTTTTTTTCTCCATTTGCTGGTTTTCCTAGTTTGGTGAGCTTGCTGTGTTCACTGTGATGGGTTAAATGCAGAGCTCAGATTTTGTATGTGAATGTGTACATGACAGTCAGAATAAAAATGACAAATCAATTTGATTTTCTCTCCGTAGATCTTTCTTTCCAATGGCCTTGGGATTTGTGCTGTCACTGGTAAACATCCCATTCCTTAATGATGTAAGAATGTTTTCACAGTCGCTCAACACACAATTGCCTTCATTTCACAATCCCTATATTTATTTCATTTTTTTTTACTCTCCCCGAGATTGGCAATAACGCCCAAATTCGTTTCTTCACAGTTTTTACAGAGTGGCTCCAGCATGGTCTGAGAGCACATTTCCACACTGGGAAGAATTATACAAGCCTGATGGACAGTTGTTCAGATACTGGAGAAGATACTTCCAACCAAGTGTTTAAAACAAATATGTTGTATAAAAATGTACACCAAAGAATTGTACTTTCATATCTCATTATTTTAAATACACACATTTTCCCACAGTCACACATAACAAACAAACAAACAAAACTATAATTTGAGGTACTGTACTACAGAGTATATGCTTAACTGATAGACCTGCTGTATAATATTTCATGTGAGAGTCAAAGAAATTGCTTTTTTTTTATTAATGTGTTACATTCATTGCATCATAAGACATTAAATAAAAATAGAAATGAAATCAAAACAGATGTTTTGTGTCTTAACTAATCCGATGGATCTTCATGCATTAAAAAAGGTAAATCAATTGCAGAAACAGGACATTTGTTTGACATTTTCTAGATGGCACAACAAGGCCAAAATGTTTTGCTGACATTTTAAAATTGTCGACTGGTTTGCGTTTCTCCTTGCTGCTAGACTCTAATTGGCTTTGGTGATTGGATAGATGTATCCTATTCAGCCACTAAAAACAAGCTGAACTATGGGCACCAAGAGCTTTTCTACCTGTCCTGCTGCTCGTAACGACAGTATGGAAGCGGCTGACATGGCAAATGGTTAGTGTGTCTTGTCAGTATAATTATCTTACTTGATTCAAGCTAGTGGTTGACATTGTACAGTGCACAATCACTGACCACGGGTCATAACAACTCACTGACTGACGAGTTTTTTTCTCAGTCAGAGATATATGCTGTAGGAAATTTGACAGGACTGCCGTCATGGAAAATCTATGCCAATGAAGGAGGAAGTATAGAAGAAAAGAGTGGTTGAGCAGGGTTAAAAAGTTGAAAAGTGGCCGGACAAGCATGGATCACGCAGGAACAGGACGTCCATCAAACTCGACCACAAGCGAAAACAATGAACAAGGTCAGTCCGGCCACTATCAAACTTTTCAATCCACTCGTCCACAGTTCTTCTCCAACCTCTGGACAGACAGAGAGAGAGAGAGAGAGAGAGAGAGAGAGAGAGAGAGAGAGAGAGAGAGAGATACAGTATACACAGTATATATACTGTATATTGTGTGTGCAAATATTCTCTCATTTTGAATGCGATGCCTGCAATATTTATCCAAAAAGATGGGTTGGGGCTAAAAAAGAAATACATTCTGGGAAAGTTGAGGACTGCTCAAAAATATTTTTCTTAGGTGAACAAGTCTTGTCTGTTTTATGATTTCTCACCGATTTGGTTCTTATTTCCATCATCTTGGTTTTAAAGTTTTATGTGTATCACCGTGCTATTTTCGATACCTGCCTTGGGAGTACGGCTGAAAACTAACATTTATTTAAAACAGTTTTTCTTTTTTATCAGTGTGACAGTGCACATTCATCAACACAAGCATAAACAGTGTAATTTATGACTTAGCATAAATACTAGTTTTCAGCCGTTGTCTCAAGGGAGGTTTTGAAAATAGCACACGGATAAAACCATGATGACAGAAATAAGAACCAAATAGGTGAGACGTGAAAAAAAACCAGACAATACAAACAGTTGCAGGACTGAATTACCAGACAATAGACCAGGACAGACAGATCACTTACAGCTTCAAATTTGCTGGCCAGAAGCTCACTGGAACGGGCTGGAGTCTGGAAACGGACCTTCATGGGTGCATGTCTGATGTATTTTTAGCCAATAGTTGTGTTGTTTTTTTTTTGAAAAGTTATAACAGTCTCTAATGTTGCTCGGCGACTTATTCCAGGGTTGCTTACAGAGGTGACCATTTGACCAAATTTTGTTCTTCGTCTTCTTATATTGCAGTCACCTTGAGTCAAGGCCCGAGTTCTCCGTCCTTCGCTGCTTCTCCTCTGAACGAATTTATCTAAAGGGACTGGGGGAGCGGGCAAGCCCATTCAAAACTTTGTAAATGAGACAAGTACTGTTAAGATATGATTCCTCTCTGTTAACTGGATTTGAAAGAAACAACGTACAATGCTGTTGAAGGTATTTCCTGCTTACTGTGATTACAATCACCTTTGGTACCCCTTCACCCCCACCACTTTTAGGACCCCTCCAGAGGACATGTCAACATCAAAAGAGGAACTGTTATCTCAAGTATCTGTGTTGCAGCTATTGAGGGACTGCGCTTTGCTATGAGTACTATTGATCTCAGTCTCTTTCCTGAACATTTGTTTGCACACTTAAAACAACGTATGTGGTGTTAAAGTTTATCTTCTTCCTCCTTGGTTGATTAACGGCCCCCCAAGTGTCTTCTGTTGTGCCCCCGCACCTTGGGTCGGTCCCTGATCGCTGTTAAGCCCCCCTGGGAAGACCTCTTATCTCAGGATGTATGCACAGCGGGGGTTCTGGAACTTGCCATCACACCAAATGGTGGGTCGTGGTGGTCTGGTCTCACCTCACCACTCCCACCTTCGTCCAGCCACACCGGGTCAGATGTCATGTTACTTTCTTTGTTTCCGGGATTTGCATGAGAATCGTACCTAATCGCCTCTCATTATCATATTGTCTCTATATAATCTCATGAATGTGTTTCTTCTACGCTTCCTGATTCAAATCTGGACCCCTCAGGAGCCCGAATTGATTCGTAAACTGCAGAAAATAAATTAAAACCCTTCGAAGGAACTGTTCATCGCCTCCAGCCTTTATTTGGTTAACCAACATCCTCATCATCCGAAATTCAACGAACACGCGAGGAAGAGAAAGGCCGCTCTTCCCCCAACAGTACCCACAAAGATCTGGTAGCTATCCAGATCGAGGATGTGATTTTTTTTTTTGAGAACAATACAATTGTGGAAGTGCATTGATTCCCTTCATTTAGGTTAATTGGAAACAGACAACTGTCATGATTGATTATAAAGGGAGCACCCCTCCCCTGAAAGTTTGGGTGCAAAATATGCTCCCATCCAAGCAATGTCTTTTTCAAGAATGGCCCAGCTTAGCAAGAACATGTTAAGACACATTCTGTATATCTTACACCAGTGGGGCTTCTTAATAAACGTGCGCAAAAACCAAACTGGCCTGCCAGGAATCCAGATCGATGATGCGCAAAATACGACCTTGGAGACCCCAGACTGTTGAGCAACTGAAGTCATACATGAAGCAAGAATGGGAAAGAATTTCACTGACAAACCCTCAATAATTATTGCTGTCAGTTACCAAATATGAGAATTGTTAAAAGGACAAGTGTTGTAACATAGTGGTAAACATACGCCTGTCCCAGTTTTTTGGACAGTGTTGCATGCACCAAATTCAAAATGATTGAATATTTTCCAAACCCAAAGAAGTTTACCAGTTTGAACATGAACTATCTTGTATATGTAGTGTGTTGAAAAGAATAAAAGCTGAAAAGTACAGTATTTGCAAATCATTGAATTCTGTTTGTTTTCATTTACACAATGTCACAACTTCTTTGGAATTGGGGTTTGTCCATCTGTCTGCTGATAACTATGATTAAACCAAAGTTACTATAGTTAAAAGCAACCAAAATAACCCAAAACACATTTTAGTAAAGTGGAGTGGTTTTTCCATAACTCACTCCTAAAACATTTTAATATGCTTATATTTATATTGACTTACATTCTTTTTGTCTTCTACTTTCTCCCTTTCATAATTTTGCTGCTGTAAATTGGGAATTTCCCCATTGTGAGAGAAATAAAGGTTTTCTTTTCTTTTCTTATCTTAAAAACGATATTTTACGTTAACTAAACTAATAAAGCCCTACGATTGGCTGGCAACCAGTTCAGGATGTACCCGTCCAACTGCCTGAAGTCATCAGATCATGGATGGATGGAAGGATAAAATCATGAAAACTATAATTTCATGAAAATGTCCTTCATTTACCATGTTTTCCGCACTATGAGGCTCACCTAAAATGCATTGAATTTTCTCCAAAGCCTACAGTGCGCCTTATAATCCGATGCACCTTCTATATGGATCATATTCTGATTACTTGGACGTCATATTTGCAGCTGCAGCGTTTTGTGAAAGCTCTATATAAATAAAGCTGTATTCCAGGGGTGGTCAACCCGCGGCTCGCGAGCCGCATGCGGCTCTTTGGCTGGTTAAATGCGGCTCCCTGGCTTTCACACGACAATTGTCGAAAACGTCTCGGCGATGGCGCTGCCATTCAAACAACGGTGCTTAATACACAGAACGTACTACGTCAGCCTATCATCAATCCTATTACTTGATATAGAGGGCAACCAATCAGATGACTGAATCACCGCTCATGCGCAGACAACGGCGCTAAGTGCTAAGTGCTAAGCTAGTCAGCGAATTACCTCTGTTTTTAAGGCAGGGGTGCCCAATACGTCGATCGAAATCGACCAAGAGCCAGCAGACTCGTCCCAAGGCGACCGCGAGCGGTGGGAGGCGGAAATGGGGGGAAAAAAAGATTTGTGTGTTTGTTTGTGTCTTTAGGTTTCATTCATGTTCAGGTGCTCCGGCTGTTGCTCGTCGTGGCGTGCATGTATATGTGCGCGAGTGCATGGTCGTGTGTGTGTGTGTGTGTGTGTGTGTGTGTGTGTGTGTGTGTGCGCGTGTGTGTGTGTGCGTGTGTGTGGGTGTGTGGGTGTGTTGGGTTTTTACCAGTATACCGTGCCCTCTCTTGTATGTCTGTTCTGAATTCGAAGGAAACGTCTTGGGAGTGGGTACTGGTTGGCCATCCCTGCTGTATTGTATTGTATTCCCTTTAGCTCCATCTAGTGGATGCATAAGGGAACCACATTATTCCTTCATTCAGCCATGGTTTTCTTGTACAAAACAGCTTTATTTATATTGCGCTTTCACATCACCAGCAGCTGTAACAAAGCACTTTACAGAATAGTTAACATTCTTGGCACAAAGCAGCATTTACACTTTGCCATGCAGTCAAGGGGGAAACCAGGTGCAAACTGCACTCAGCTGTCAAACTTTGTGGACGTGTTTGCGTTGGTATGTCATCAACGCAATGTCCTTTGTGAAACGGACGTTATGACGGATCAAATTGCAGGTGCAAATGAATTGCAGTTAAAGGTGCTATCAGCGGCCGAAGTTTTTTTTTTTCATGAGGATTGTTTACATTCTGGTCACCAGGGAAGATGCATTTTCGGAGTGCAAACATAGCGAGCTTGTTAATTGCACGCTGTAGTGGCATAAATGAAGCAAAACAATAATAAAATGATCATTAAATTACTCGAAAATATGCTGGATCACCACTTATGCAAACAAAGCCGATAAGGTTCTTATAAAGTTCCGACTGTAGTGGGCGAGTGGGGACTGATCCAGGCCTCCAAAATCAGAAAAACTGAAATGCTACCTCTCCACCACTCACATCTACATAGTCTTTGAAAATTGCCGCTGTCCTGTGAAAAACATGTCCATTTTTGTCATTTAAAAAAAAAAATACATTAAATGTTCATTACAAAACGCGGACACCCATTCACATAAAAGTTAAAAAAAAATAAAAATGGACATACATGTTTATCACAGGACAGTCACGATACATTTTAAGAGCATGTGCATCATTTTGTAATTACATTTCTTCAATTAAGTTGGACAGGTTTGAGGTCAAATTCATGTGGGTCAAATAGTGATGATTTCATCATTTTTATATATGTATTTGTTTATTTATTCCTTCAACAGCACATCTTGTTTGTCTGTTTCATGTTTTTGATGGGTAGGTTTGTTCAAATGAATAGTCTGAAAGTTACATTTTTGCAGCATTGTGTATTTTGTCAGAACAACAGTCTTTCAGACAAAAATAGAACTTAAGAGCAATATTATTTGATAATTGGACAAATAAATTACATACAACCACAATACCATCTGCAAATGGCAGTCAAGAGGTTTCGTTGGGTAAATGGACATACAGGTGGTTCTCAAAAACTATGATCCAGGAGTGTGAAATGAGAGCCCTAAAATGAACTTGTTCAAAACCAGATCAAAATGATGTAGGATTTGAATAAAAACTTTCTTGCGGGGTGCGACAAATAAATATAGTTCGCTCAGCCCGTTGTTCGCAAGAGATGGTTCACTGTTGTGATATTCCATCGTTTCATATCGAAGCGCTTGGAACCTGAGTACCAAGCATCAGGCACTCAAGTGAAAAAAATATTTTTCAATTCGGTATTTTTTACACTTGAACAACTTCATTACCTTCATACAAAGAGATTCAAGTGAAAAACTGCTACAAATTACACGTCGGAAATTACCGCTGAATTGGTGAATAGCCGTCATGTAACATTGTGTTGTTACATTGGAAGATCACATGCACACCACAACTTATGAAAGTATACTGATCTATTTTGGTGTATTTTGGTGTTCGCCATGCTCGACATGTAGTTTACTCATTCGGACAAACCTTAAGACAGAAAAATGCTATTTCCACAACCACCCAAAAAAAAAAAAAGACATTTTCCTCAACACTCTTATTAGATGGCATGGAACCCTTTGCTTAGTTAATAAACAACAAAAATAACTCTTTTAGTGGCACCTCGACAAGTGTCGAGTAAAGTTCAACGTGATAAAATATGTGTCCAAAATTGACTTCTTACAGAATCTGCAGGTTGCGAAATTTTCCCTCCTCCCTTTCGAAGACATTGTTTCAAAAGGCAGTCCTCGATTGTAATAACTTTTATCAGCCTGCTGTTGGCTGGCATGACTGAAAGAAAAACACTGTAAGACTCACAGTCAGGTTAACCAATCAGATAACTATTTTGATCATCTGAAATACTTTTATTTCAAGTTTTTTTTTGTCATTGAAGGTTTAGGTTAATTTTCAGGAATAAAAGCGTAGTTTGACTCTTTTGAGTCAATAAAAATATTTTGTGAGTCCAATGGCTGAGCCAAGCCAAATGCCAAGGAGTCTGAGTCCAATCTGAGACAATAAAAACAAAACAAAACAAAACAAAAGCGTCGAGTCCGGATTCAACTCAAGAATGTACAGCCTTGGTAACAACTGCTTTTGGCACTGATGCATTTTTAAGGGGGAAAAGGGATCTTAATTGCAAGGGCGTGTTGACAGGACACGAACAGCGATGGCTCGTTTTCACCACTATAAGTACATTCAGACGCAAAAGACAGCACAAATCTCAGTTAGGCTTATTTATTTTAGCTCTGCAGTCTGTATATATTATATTAATTGTAAATGGAGAAAATTACATTTTTATATATATATATATATATATATATATATATATATATATATATGTAAAACGAGAAACACAACACATAAAAATGCAAATGAGAATGCATGCGCAGAGTAGCTCGTAAAAATGAATTACCCCCTTTCAGTGATACACCTCTGCCAAGAATACACGGTTGACCTCGCACTTTGAAGGAATCTCTCGTCAGTTATTAAATGTTCCCAAGCTATGGCACCGAATGGCACAACAAAAGTCAAACTTTCAGGTCATTTTTGCACATATGTGAGGACAAATGCATGGGACAAAATGTCTGTGAAGATGAGGGAAAAAAATATTGATGATGACGTAAGAACAGGAAATGGAACTTATCTCAACAGTGTCCTGGCTGCTCAGTACAACATAAACAATACACCATTTCGTAGAGGGCTCGTCCTCCTTATGGTCATCCTCAGCTGTCTTTGGGCAAGAGGCGAGTGGTTAGCTAGTGACTCATCGATCTGTGGTTTGGGGGTTGATTCTGAGCATTCCTAACTCCCACTTACTAAAAACATGCATGTTAGGTTCAATTTCGATGACACATTCTCTATAGGTGTGAGATCGGCACCCAGAGTGGAAACTAGAGTCGATTAACAAACACATTAAAATGGGTTATCATCCGGGGTTATTTTACGATCATACTGAGCATGCCCTTATGCCACAGAGAAAATTTCTATTCCTGAGTCATCATAAGCGGCGGCTGGAAGCAGGAGTGAAAGCTGTTAAAAATAGCCACAATGACGACGATGACAAGAAGAAGCTGACGTGAGCAAGAAACCTGCTGCACAACTTCACGTCATCCATCCATTTTTGTTATCCGCATTTCCTCACGAGGGTCGCGGGCGTGGTGGAGCCTATCCCAGCTGTCTTCGGGTAGTAGGCGGGGGGAGACAACCCTGCACGGTTTGCCAGTCGAGAGAGAGAGAGAGAGAGAGAGAGAGAGAGAGAGAGAGTGTGTGTCAAAGTGGGTCAACGTTTCAACATTCCGCTTGACCATACTTTCTGAGAACCGGGTAAATAGAAATATATTTAAATATTTAACCACGAACACAAACGTTTCTAATGGTGATGGGCTCACAAAATGCAGATTCCTGGGAGAGCTTGTTATGTTTAGATCATGGCCCCACATGATCATAGGCAACAGTTGTGAAAGCTCCAAACAGAAAAACCTGAAGAAAACAAAACAAATTCATCAACATAAAGGGTTGACGATCAAAATATACACCATCAATTATGAATGCATTTCATATATCTTCATCCATCCATCCATCCATCCATCCATTATCTGATCTGCTTCATCCTCACAAGGTTCGCTGGGCGTGCTGAAGCCGATCCCAGCTGTCCTCGAGCACTAGGCGAGGGACACCCTGAACTGGTTGTCAGCCAATCATGTAGGGCAGACAGACAAACAAACATCTGCGCTCACTCTCACACCGAGGGACAATTTAGACTGTTCCGTTAACCTGCCATGCATGTTTTTGGAATGTAGGAGGAAACCGGAGTACCCGGAGAAAACCCACGCAGGCCCGGGGAGAACATGCAAACTCCACACAGGGAGGCCGGAGCCAGAATCGAACCCTGTACCTCTGCATTGTGAGGCCCGACACGCTTACCAGTGGACCACCGGACCGCCCTATACACACACACACACACACACACACACACACACACACACACACGCACGCACGCACGCACACACTTTTTTTATCACTGAAGTATTGTAAGAACTGATAGAAATGCAGAGCTCTTTACCAGATCATTGAGTAAACTAGCTTTGTTTGCGGTCTCCATCTGCTTCCCCTGAAAAAAAAGAGTGCAACAAATTTAACCAGTTCAAGTAGACATACTGATTAGGGATGCTCCGATCATCAGGGGCCCATCATTATTCGTGAAAAAGTGTGTGACTGGTGAATTCAAATTGGAGCTTTTATTGGCAGATCACATTTTATTATGTTTTAAATTTCATTTTATGACATACAAATTAGCTTATTCGCTGTGATGTGGCATTCAATTATATAACCACTACAATCATTAAACTGAAGTTTCATTTTAAGTGATGTATTGGATTAATATGTAGTGTATATATTAATGGACTGTGAGTGACTCTAATCAAAGTAGAGTAAATTTAAATAAAGAATTGAACTGGATGTCAGTACAGTGATCCCACGCTACTTTGCGATTCACTTATTGCGGATTTAGTGTATCGCGGATTTTTACTCAATTTTTAAGTACTATATTCAGAAAAAAAGGCTGAATGACTCTGAGGTTTCGTACATGCCTGTATTGTATATGCAGCGGGCACACATTCAAGGCGCATGATTGGTTCCTGGTGTGACCAATGACAGCACCGAGTGGATTTATTCTGTGAGCTGATTGGCTGCGCATCTTCGCAGCCCCACCGAGCACCTTGAGTCTCATCACACTGGATTAACACGCATAATGTCTCTTCTGTTGTTTCTACTTACGCGTCGGAGAGAGAGAGCGAGAGATGGGGCAGGTGTGTGCCTGTCCGAAAGCAGCAAACGTCTCTCTTCACCTCCTTCTCATCAATACCGATTAATTGTCTTATCATTAACACATCGGCTGTGCGGGGATAGCTGGCCAGGAACTAGCTGGAGGCTAATGGTGGCAACACCGTCAGAGCGTCAAATGAGGGCCGCCTCCTATGCCACCAGCACAAGTCTCTTCGCTTCTCTCAGAAGGCAATGCTGATGAATGTTAATTACAGTATAAGGTTTTATAATTAAAGATTTCAGTAAATACGTGTACTGTTATAGTCTTTGTCTCAAATATGTAAAGTATAAATACTGTTTACATATTTAAAACATGCTGGTGCCCACAAACCCTTACAAAAAAATTCCTAGGAGGCCGGGTGGGGCAAACCGTACTTCACGGTTTTCCACTTCGCGGCAGGGTTTTGGTCCCCATTAACCGCGAAAGATCAGGGTTTTACAAACACAACCCAAAGTCACGGTTTGTTGGGGGAAAATTATGTTTGGGTTCAAATATGACACACTTTCAACGACTGGTAACAGAAACACAAATACATGACAAGGATTAACATCCTTCTAACTTTATTAATTAAATACTGTATATTGCGGCACGCAGTGCATTCTGAGAATGGAGTGGCTCGAACATTTGACACACTTGTGCAGTGTTGCTGCGTTATGTTTATCGGCGTCACAAAAATAAGGATGGTTGCACTGTATTGATTGCAAAAGTTAGAGCGTTGACAAAAAAGTCAGCCCTGTGAAAAATGTTTTGATAATTGAGCAAGCTGTGGTTTACTTTTACTGGATATGCATGGTCTTTGAGTTGCAGAGTAATAGCATTAGCATCTAGCTTCGTTGCGCTCGGCTCAGATGTTGGAAACCTTCGATGATTGCAAAGAGTTCAGAATGGTTGGTGGCTGCTCTCCAGACTTGTACCAGACATTCAAGTTTGATCACTGTAGTAATCTCAATCGTGAGTCTTGTATTTCTTTAATAATTCACAAATTTACAGTGTAGCTGAGGTCCATTAAGTCAGGGGTCCCCAACCGCCGGTCCGCGGACCGGTACCGGTGCGCAGGGCCTTTG